GGCCGGGAGCACGCGTTGCACGTAGTGGCAGGAACATCTGGGCTTGGCAGCTGGCGCCGTCGGGGAGCGGAGGCGCCCGGAGCCGCGCAAACGTAGAAGCTGGGAGGAAACGTGCTCGCTGGGCTGGCGCAGCTGCAGGGCGCGCGCGCAGCCCTCGAGTGGGGACGGTCTGAGCCGAGCGGGTTTAAACAGCGAGACACGTTCACGAGTTCGAATGCGCGAGAGCCTTTCCCTTTAGGAGGCAGAGGTGTAACGTCCCGCAAATGAGAAACCTGGGATTTTTTAAACTCTAGACTTAGAGTCTCAGTCTGAGCTTTGGAAGTGAGGAGCTGAACGCCTCTGTTGTGGCGCCCCGCTTAGATCGCAGGGGGCTGCTGGGGGCTTGGCCTGGCCTAGGAAGCACTGAAGAAATCTCAAGTGAAAGAATCTTTGCTTCATTTTTTTTTTCTCATTTCTTTTTATTTAGTGAAACTGGCAGCTTGGAAAAAGGAAGTTTCCTGAAATCATCATCCTGAGGAGAGCTAGTATTTCCTGGGACCGTTGCCTGCGGTACGGCCTTTGAGCACGAGGACTAGTCTGATTGCCTGGCAATGATAAAGGAATCCCTGCCTTGGGGAGAGGGAACGGAAACAAAAGTGCTTTGAACACAGTCAAGCTTATTCTTACAGAACAAACAAAAATTGGTAGTTCTTTGGGAGGGTGCTACTACGAAGCATGGACGACGTACCTAGTTACACGTGGCCCTTCTCTCTCCTGGCGTGTGCGTAATGTTTTGAGATCCTACCTTCTTGTTTTCCTTCTGAAAACGTGAATTGTATAATCTCTGTGGTTTCTCTGCATTGCAAGAGGTGCACTTGGGCCTCAGGATTTTACTCGGCTGAGCTTTTTATTCAAACTGAGCTCTGCAGTGAGGAGGGAGCTCTGTGCCTTATCCTGATGCTCATATGACGGCTGTCCAGCTGTGTTTCCAGCTGTGTGCCATACCCCGCGTCCGGCTAAGCGGTCTACTTAAGTAGAAATAATGTGTTGCTCTGGGCCTCAAACAAGGTGCGTACCAGAGGTAGCTCCTCATCTGGTGTTCTGCGGGCTCAGAAGTGTTTCCTGGCACTTTAAGGCATACGTTCGCTGCAAAATAAATATGGCCATAAAACCAAAATTTTGTAACACTAGTGCAATGTGCTAAGACAGGTTTATTTTGCCTCTTTACCAAAGTTAGGGAAGAAAAATATGCACGAATAAGTCACCAGGGCTAGACGCCCGGGAGGAGGAGGAAGAGGAGGAGGAGCCACCACCACCGCCCCCGCCGGGCGGGTCTGGTGCGTGGCAGAGGCGCCGGCAGCTCCGCAGCCCCCAGCCGCCGCCCGGTCCCTCCGGAGCGGAGCGG